GTTGTGTATTGCCGGGGGACGGTCTTCCCTCCAAAGCCTGGTCTCTCCCTCCTCTCCCCCGCGGTGCCCAGAAGCCTATGAGATGGTTGCACATGCAGAGTCACGCGTTGTGAGGGAAGTCCGGGGCTGGAAACACCGCAGAACAGAAGAGCTGTAATTGCAGCATCTGCACGAGAGGAGCTGGCCACAGCAGTGCCTTCGTGCCCAGTGTCCGGGTGTTACCCTGCCCAGGTGCCAGGTGAAGCACTTCACTCCCCGCTTCATAGAATCAAGACTTAACTTTGAAGGATGCAAGATTAATGCCCGGCTTTGATGAGAAACAGTTTTTGCACAGAGAGTCTAAACTTTCTGCACATGGTAAAAGAGCTTCTGTAGTACTAGCAGCCAGAAATGGTGAGGAATGTCTTGCTTTTCTGCATTTCTGCAAGGTGAAGGGTAGCTTTCTCTGCCTAGACTTCCTTTGTTAGCCTTTATACTTGAGCCTGTACAAATTGCTGGATTTTCTAAAATATAAGGAATAAGCCACCTATATTGATGACTTTGAATAAAACAAATTAGTTCGGATAACACAAGAGCTTGCTTCATGTGAGCCTTTAATCCCTATAGACCATCAGTGAGGGAAATGAGCACTCCTTTGACCATTGGAGATAAACGTATGTCTTCAGCCAGAAAACTGTTACGCTGACTTTCAGCTCCTATGTCACCTACACTGTATATACACTTGCTTTTATATAAAATTGTAATTTTGGGCATGTTGAAAGTAACTGGGATCTGGAGAACATAAGGTCTTCTGAAACAGCTTTCACATGTTCTTTTGCTACCTTTAATGACATTCACAAGACAGTATTAGTCCTTCTATTACAGCTCTGTGAATGACAGTGATGCAGTAAGATCAGGCCTTGGTGCTGCCAAAGGCTGTCTCAGCTGGTCATGATACTTATTTTGGAAATTATTTTTATTATGGAAACTATTTTAATTGCCCTTTCCACTCTAGGCTCTTCAGACATACCAGACTGATCCTGCCATGAGAAAGATGCTAACTCAGCTGTATTTCTATATCATGCCTGTATTTAATGTGGATGGATATCATTTTAGCTGGACATATGTAAGTAGTATCAGTAGTATTCCTTAAAAATTGTTCAGAAAGAAAAGGCTGAATGTTATTATATAATTCAAAAGTAACTTTCCATATGTTACGGTTCATCACGTTGTGTCATGCAAAATAGAAGTAAATGAATACAGTTAAACTATTGTACCAAATACGTTAACTGGAGTAGTTACTATTGTACTATTTACATTTACTTTTGTTACTATTACAAAACTATTAAAATTATGATTAGGATCGATTTTGGAGAAAAACAAGATCAAAGAACTCAAGGTTTCGGTGCCATGGTGTTGACGCCAATCGCAACTGGAAAGTGAAGTGGTGCGGTAAGTCTGGAAACACCTTGGTCCATCAGGTCAGATTACCCCGTCCTTAATTATCCAACACATTAAGTAGGTTAGCATGAAGTGTTCCCTTTTCCATAGGTAAAATTGAAGCTTCTTTCCCCATAATGTTACAAGGTTTTGAATTATCCTCCTAACTTCTAAGAAAGAAACCAAATGCCCTGAATTTAGGACTACCACCTCTCATCACATGTTAAAGCTTTTCTGGGCAGTGTGGCAAAAGTGAAGACTAAGCAAGTAGAAATGGCACATGAGCTATTTTGTATTTCTGGAATCATGCATGTCGTTTGAAGGACATTTCAGAATTTATCTGAGTATGACCTTTTGAAACATTTTAAACTTTTTTTTTTAATTCATTACTTCTCTAAAATGACAATAGCTTGGAAGCTTCAGATTTGTTTTTCAACATGGTAGAAAAATGTTAGTCAATATTTTATTATTAGAGATTTTTTCTATTTTTTATTATTTATTATTAGAGATTTAATACAGAAAAAAAAATGCTTGTAAGTGTGTGGAGATGAGCTCTTAAACTCCCAGACCTTCCGTAAATCCTTATTATGGAAGTTGACCTCAATTTGGGGTTTAGACTGCAGCAGCGGTGAAATACTAACGGAAGATAGAGGTGGATCTATTAAATAAAAAATGGTATTTTATTAACTCTTACAGCAAGATAGTACAACTCTTACACAGGAGAAGTATCTGGTATTACAGCAAGTAGTAGCGCTTCCATGTATAATTATTCCTTATATTCCTGGTTCTTTCTGCCTTATATTCTCAGTTCTTCTGCAGACATGCAAGACATCTTGAACAAGTTCCTTCCAGTTCCTCCTTTGCAGCTATTTCCTCCTTCCGTGTCTCTCTGCCTTGTCTGTTTACCTTATAAACTTACACAGGCAGAAATGGTGTTCACAAAGGGCTAGCACAACAGCCCTTCCTTTCGCCCATCCCTCTCCCATTCAAAGTCTGATTTTCTCTTTGAGTAGTTTTCTGAGAATGTTAAGGATAAGAGGAAGTGTGAATAGTCTGCCTGGAGTGATTACAAATGAGATGGGAGAAAAGAGAAACACACACCAAAAAAAACAGCAATACAATAAGTACCCATAAAATATGCTTTCAGATTTTAGCAACTCACAGTAAACAAATACGGAAGCAGTCAGAGAAAGCCTACAATAGACAAGGATTTCTCCACTACATAAGATCCAACTCCCAGGGCTGCCATCACGGCCTTTGAGGAAATTTTATGCTGGAAAAATAATGTAAAGCTGGACCAAAGTCCTTCATCACTGTTACCATCTTTTACTTGAGGTTATAAATGAGAACTCAGTCTAGTTTTAGCATATAGGTTTGTAATGCAGAAGATGTCGACTTGCTACCCAGCCACTGTATTAAAACACAAATAATTCTGACTTAGTCCTGGAAGCTGTTTGTGTATTTATGAGCAAAAAAGTATTTTCTAGGCAGAGTGAAACTACAGCAATGCCCACATGTACACACACACATCCTGTTTTGTGATCCACTATTCGTTGCTGAACTAAATAGGAAAGACAGGGCCTCAACCCAAGTATAAAAAATTGAAATTTATTCAAGGTTGCTCATCATCTCTCCAAGCACATGCTCTGCCTCTCAAAGTGGACCCCAGACTCCATTTCATTTTCTGTTAAAACAGAGTTTGACAGAAATTTAATACTTTGGCAGAGAATAAAGAGCTCTTTCATGGGCGTCTGGTGCTCAGAAGCTCCTCGCCCTGGGCCCGATGTTCTCATTAATGTGACACTAAATGAGGCAGAGGAGAATCTGGATCATATCACACTTTGAGGCTTGTATAATCATGATGCATGTAAAATTTTCAACTGCGCATGCCTGTAAAAACCCTTCAATTCGGTTCAGCCACAGTTAGCAGGACGAGTCCTGAGCGTCACGGCGGGGCTTGCAGGCAGGTGAGCTGCGGCAGAGCGGCCGGGTACGCGGCTGCGGCCTGCTTGGCAGAGACAACGCTGCGCCCCTTCTTTTGGCCTAGGTTTTATGGTGCGGCTTCTGTATTCTCTAGGGACTTGGCAAAGGGCTAGATCACTGATTATGGTAGCCTCCACTCTGCAGCTTTCTGTGCTCAAAACAGTGTACAGTAAGTGCAGACAAGCTGGGGTGAGTACTGACTGCAAGATCTGCAGGATAGAGATGCCCCTTATGTGCAGTGTATGTGCAGTTAGAAGAGCAGTGGTTTAAAGTTCAATAAGTAAATAGCAATTTTAAGCCAATAATGAGACTCTTAGAACTAAATCATTCTATGGGGCAAATCCAGATAAGAGGCAGTCCCCAAGGAAGCAGGGGAGGAAGTAAAATTTCTGGCGTATCCCCATCATGCACCGAGGACAGTATCATGCACTGGCCAGAGCGAAGCTCGCAAGGAGCTTTGAGGCTGGAGCTCCTGCTCATCTGTACTCCCACAGTCTTGCCAAGCAACTTGGTTTTATCGGTCTCTGCACACAATTTCTTTGTACATTTGATCTCATGGGGGATACTGGAAGATACTTGTGCCCCTGCAATGTGCTCCCAAGGACAAAAATAAGGCAGCATGTTGACTTCTTCTGTAATTTAATTTTCTTCTCATGACTGTAACTTTGACATTTCACAGGAGTTTATATTTACTGTATCTTTTATTTTTCTTCCTTTTTGTGCTGCTTTAAAGACCTCTCAGTATGAAAACTGAGAATCTTTTTACATTCTCTGTGGGAGAATGGAAATCGCCATGGAAATTCTCACCCTTCTTTCCCAGCCAGCTTCACTTAAGGAACAGCATTAACTGCAGCTGGGATTGCCATAGGCTTACCAGTTTAGAACATCTTTTCCTCACCAAAAATCACTAAACTGAGTTGTTTTTTACCACTTTACATTTAGCTTGGGTCATTTTACATTTAGCTTGCAGCTTGTTCATCAACAGTGGTGTTGATGTTTGAGATTCATGATGATACAACATTGTAACAGGAGATGAAGTATCCACCCAAAAAGCAAGAACTCATGGAGGTTCTGTTAAATGGCTTTCCTTTAGCTTTATTATCTGCCAAGAAATTGAAGCAGGGTACTCTCGGGATTTGCATGACTTGATAGCCATCTGTTCTGCAGGGAGCAGGCCATCTGCCCCCAGTATAATCATTCCATATCCACTGCTATCTAAGCACTGGTACCTTTTGAAATCCCCACTGGTGGCCATTGAATGATAGCCTCTTGTTTTCATATTATAAATGAAGCTGCAGTATGACATTTTTCTACTGTTTTTTTTTCCTGGCATCAGGCTGATTGCCTAACCTTGTTATAGTTCATATTATTAGGTACTACCACAATACCTCATTTCTCATTATTTGGAGATGGGACTACTTACTCTACAGAGGAAAGCTAATAAAAGACTGCTTCCCTAGGTCCCTGACGGCACCAGAGAATATCACAAACAAACTATTATTACTCTGTAGGTCAGTGTAAAGCAGGTGGCATTTTGAAATCAATGGATAAAAGATCACAATTGATTTGCATAAATATTGTTCCTTTAAGCCCAGTCCCTAAGCCGTAAATGAGATGGTGGCTTCGATCCAGGGTTGCTAAATGACAAAGGAGCCACTGCCCCATCTCCTTTTCTGGGTTTCAGCTTTCACTTCCTCATGAGATACTGCATGTAGGTCTCACTGCTGCAGCTTCCTGCCACCTGAGCAGGTGGACGTGTTGAAAGAAATCCTCACCATTAAACTCCTGACCCAGCGAAAGATTAAGCCATGTGCAACCCTAGATGATTTCTATTTTAACTACCTGAGCAATCATCCCATGTGGCTTGTCATTTTTTTCCCATAAGGTTTGCAAGAGTAAAAATAGGCAGTAGTTATGGACTATTTTCATGTTTTAAAGCAGTCTCTAAGGTAATGCATGATGAGGTTATCTGCCTGCCCTTGTAACCATCATTGCAGTAGCTACAACATTAACATGCACTTAAGAGCGAGACTTGTCTTGGCAGTGACTGGTGAAAGAAGTATAGCTCTCTGATTTCAAACAGACCACTGAGACCCCTCAGCAGTTTTAATAAAACCGCCATGCAGGAATTCCATCAAAAAACACATCCCTCATATGGAAAGCTGGAGAAGAAAATACAAAGAAGTCAGGCTCTTCTTTCTTTATTTATTGGGTCAAAAATACATTCCCCGAGGAGCGCTGGCCACCTGGCAACTCGGTGTGTCTATCAGATGAGTGAGCAGATTGCTGTACTGGGGTCCCACTGGTTCTTACTCTTCAATCAGAAAAAAAAAGAGCAATTTGATGATTGCTTTTTGTGCTTCTGCACCCACACGGGCAAAGCTAGAACGTGACCCTTACAAACTCCCTGCGATAACTTACATCAGCTTTCTCTTTCAATCTGTAGATGAAGGTGCTTCACTTCACCCGTGTGATGACACCTACTGTGGTCCCTTCCCTGAGTCCGAGCCTGAAGTTAAGGCTGTTGCTCATTTTCTCCGCAGACATCGCAAACAGATCAAAGCCTATCTGTCCTTCCATGCCTATGCTCAGATGCTGCTCTACCCCTACTCTTACAAGTATGCAACGATTCCAAACTTCAGCTGTGTGGTAAGTGTATTAGCACTTGTGAGAACGTGCATCTCTGCTCTTTGGCTTTGATACACTTTGTTGTGAGAGAAGACTTGTTTCTCTGATGCTTTGCATATAGTTAATAGAGAGCAGTATTTATTCTGGACCCACCCACAATTTCATTTCTGATTACGTAACTGTCACTCCAAGTGATTCAGCAGTAATTTGATTAAATTAGCCTTTTGTCCATCTGTTCTTGTAAATTATTTCATAGGATAAATCCTTAGGTTTCAATTATAGTATTTTATGTAATTAACATAAATAATAATGGGAATTATGTAGTTAAGTCATTGGGCATTTAGCCAAAATTCTCCCCCTTTATGCTCAGAACTTCAACCTAAGTACTGGATGCACAAAGATGTTCTTCAGTTTTAAGAACAAAACTGAAGTAGATTTGTTTATTTATCAATTAGAAGAGAGTAGTAGATTTTCTAAAAGGTGAAATCTCTGTTGCTTTATGTGTCATCCTGCTCAGCCATAGGTGTTTTTTTTTTCTTTACTCCTTTCAGGCAAGCAATTTACATCGGGTGTTTTGAAGATGTCTATAGAAGACTAAATTGTTAATAGTCCGTTTTTTGAGTAGTTACAGAGGATATGCACACTTCTTGTGTTCCATGCTCATCCAAAAGCAGAAGAACTATTCCCACTGCTCACAGATTGAGCTCTGTTTTCAGTCAACATCAGAAAAACCTCCCTTTAGCCTATTCTCTTAGGGAAATTTTCTCGAGCTTCACTTTCTCCCTGCTGCTGCTTACAGAAACCCAATGCATCAAGCTGTAGCAAGGTACTTTTTTTGGCCCTCAGTTCTTGCCCAAAATTTCCATGTCCTATTTTGGCCTTGAATATTGGAGTGACTCTTAACTTCCTAGTGTCATCTAGTTTACTCCAAATGGAATTTAACTGCATCTTAGGTTTATCCCAGGCAGAATAGATGATGTTTTAGTCCCTGGAGCTTCGTTGCAATTTTGCTCAGCTGTCATCCTAGGAGGACAAACAGCCAGCACTGCACAGACTGTGCTCTCATTTTTTGCTTATTTCTGTTAAGACACTTAATTTCACCATTCTAAAAATGTCCTGCCTGATGTCATTCTTGGGAAATAGAGCAAACCAGAAGTCAACAAAGCAACCAGAGCAGGTAAAAATGGGAGACTTGTGGAGGCTGGCAATGCAGTCCTGCACTGTACGTAACACGTGCCATTCAGCACATCCTCATGGCAAGTAATGCCATGAAGCCACTACTTATCCTCCCTACCTTAAGAGATAAGGCAAAGGGATAAAAGCTCCCCACATGAGCTACTGACTGCTACTCATGAAAGAAAAATTAATAAAAAAAATGGGATTGGGAATTTGAAAGCACAGGATCTCATTTCTTTGAAAATCAGCAGGTGCAAGCATATTTTGAAAAAAAATGGCAATACGGCAGAAGAAAAAATCATGATGTTTGGAGGAATCATCAGTTCCTCTGCAGGAAGATGATTGTTGGATATCTCTATGAAAATACTTAGAATAATATAACACAACACAGCGTCAGGAAATTCATTCTAAGGAAAAAGAATCTCAATTTGAGGATTTTCACATATACCAGTAAATTTTCAGCACATGCTGTTCTTGTAGCTTGAGAGTTATTTCCATTTTGAGATGGAGGGGAACACACTCTACCTTTCCATCCAAAGCTTTTAGACAAAAGGAACTCATTTTTTGATTAGTGGTAGGTGTTCCCTGCTTTTGTAAGACCTTGAATCCCTCAGTCAGCATCAGGGAGAGTGGAGCAGAGACCTAAAGCAACAAAGAAAGGCAATGGCCTTGGGCAGATGAAAGACAAACTCCCGTTCTAAGTGTTCTGCTGGTATTTTTTATCTTATATACCTTTTTATTGCCGTGGGGCAAAAAGAACAGGGAGGCCAGAGTAAGAAAATGAAATAATTTCCTATTGTTAGAAAAGTTCAGTTTGGGGATTAGAGGGAGAATGAGTGGAATATGTTGCTTATTTATATGTGCATTTTTGTATGCTAAATGCTAATCAATCACCTGGTGGTTCCTGAATGCATAATCTTCAATATTTTATGTGTCTCTCATGGTCACTTAAACTGAGGTTCCAGTTCTCATGGAGAATTATAGTGAGTTGAAAAGAAACAGTCTCTGTTTCTTGCTGATGATGGCACAAGCTTTGCTGGTGCACATGGATTGTGCTGAGTGGACAACTGTAGGACTCCACATGCACAGCAGATGATTAATGTTTCCTGTTAATAAGGGGTCACAATTAATCCTAAGCAAAAGGACGGATGTGTGTGTCCGGGTCACAACGTGCTAGTGAGCTGTCAGTTACCATTTCAATTAAAGCGTTCAATTATTCAGAGTTGCTTTGAAACTGGAGAGCCGTGTGCTGAACACAACATGCATATTCTGTTCTAATTTAGGCACAGGTCTCTTATTAGCAATGTCCTGAAATCTGTTCTTTTAAGATACTTCAGTGAAATTATACTTTTAGATTGAAATAAGCAGCAGAAATATTCACCCACCCAGAGGATTTTTAAATTTCACTTACTGTTCATTCCTCTTCTTCCTGTACAGCCGTTTGCCTGAGTGCTTACAGTGACCTCATATGGCACAACCAATTTTGTATATCTCTTCATAAAAATCTGATAATATCATATCAAGCTTTCTCCTTGAGGGTGTCCAAAGACCGGTTGCCTGGCTTTATTCAGATCAGATCTGCGCTGTGTGTGATGCAGGTCAGAACCGGCCCCCGTTTTGGGTACACAACTTCAACAGCTGAAGCGAGCAGTATCCCTCAGGACGGAGACCCGCACGGTCGCCGTGCCCGGAGGTGCCTTCCTGCCTGCCAGGCACGTCTGCCGGTGCCTCCTCGCTGACCTCCGCGTGGCTCGTGCCCTTGCACAGAGCGCAGTACCAATGTGCTGTGTCCAAGTAGGCACTGCCAAAATATTTTTTCAAGATGTTCTCATCAGGTTTTGGAGAGGTTTTTTTTGTCTCGTTGCTGCGTGATGTGTAACACACATGTGGAATTTTTCCTTCCTCATTATGTTCTCCTTTCCCCGATACATCTCCTGGGCCACTGCTGCCCAGTGGCTCTCAGCTCCCTCAGCTGAGGCCTGCTTGTGTTCAGCAGCTCCCCCAGTGCTCTAGCTGTGGTCAGGCCTTCCCAGCTGCACACGATGCCTCCGGGTTCCTACGTGCCCAGCTGCTGCCAAATTGCTCTTCACCAAACCTGGCACTTGGGGCTTCACTGCCAGTGATGGACAACAGCCCTGGGCCGTGGCTGGAGCTCCTCACTCCTCAGGGCTCTGTGAGGTGGTTTTCCCATCACCATGGCTCACACTGCCAACCCTGTAGGCTCTGACACATCTCACCCCATCATGGGTCTTGTGTGTCATGACTCGCACAAATTAAGACATCTGCATGTGTAAGAGGGGGAACAGACCCAAGTGACAGCATTTCCCTGTCCTTAGACCTCCCCCTGCCTCCTCATACTTGGTGCTGGGGTGAGTGAGAAGTTACTTTTCTACCTAAACTTACTCCCACATCCAAACCCTGCAGAAGTTCCCAGCAGCAATAACCATATCTACCAGTTTCTATCATCATACAGTCTTCTGTGGAGATGATAAGAGGAGGAGAGACGAGCTGAAAATGTCAAGCTGGAGTCTCTTGAAATATCTTTTGGGCACTGAGAAAAAAAAAAAGGCCAATGAGACAAACAAACAAAAAATCTAATGGTGTCTAATGAATTCTTGTAGTGGGGTTCTTCCATTGGGAAGTGATTTCTCCGTGTAAAGAAAACTGACCAAAGTCATACTGTATGGCCAGTAAATGAAAAAGACTCTTTTTTTTCCCCTGGAATGACATTTTTCTTTAGCTGCTTTACTAGACCTGAAATGGGTCCGCAATGAAAACTCCTGCAGTAGCCAAGACAAAGGTTAGCCAGAATCCTGATTCTTGACAGGAGCAGCAGCGTGAGAGCTTAGTGAAAGAGGCTAAACAGAAAGGCCAGTACAGCGTGATCCTGCCCTAAGGCCCTCAGCCAGTATCTGCTGAACAGTACGAGAACCAAGTCACAAAAACTTGCAGGACCTGAATCTTACAGCTCTGCAGTTGACAAAAACAAAATAAACATTACAGCTTCAGAGGGAAGATCAAAGTCCATTGCTTTCAATTTCCGATTGTGTTCATTTACTTGGTCTCTATAAGGAGATTTCTCTGCATAATTCAATATATTCTCTGCTTTCCCTGTACGTTCTCCCTGATTCTTTTCTTTGGGATCATAACCTTCATTTTTCTTCTATGTGCATCTTTTCTCTTTGTTTGCAAGAGGTAACCATATGTGGCTCTCCGAATGAGTGGTGGGCCCAGCTCTCCACACGCAGTTTCATGGAGTGTCACAAACCTCCTGAACAGCCTGCATGGCTCTGGATCCTGATGCAGGGAATGCCATGCCAGAGCTGCAGCTCTGCAGCAGAGCTAAGGGCTCTCCAAGGCTGCATGGTCTGGTCCCAGGGAAAGTGAGAGCAGCAACACACACTGACCTGCCCATCAGACGCTCAGGAGGGGCATCAGCTCCTTCCTTCTTCCCACTGTGCCACTGACCACTGTGAGATGTCCCCAGTAGATAATTTCTGTTTCGCAACAAGCCCAGTGTAGATGGAATGGACTGGGACATATATCCACAGGCAGTGGAGGAAAACACTGGGCTTTTAAACTGCATAAAAAGATAATTTCATCTCACTGTCTCATTGTGACCTATATTTGGTGTTGCAACAGATGCAATATATACCAGCAATTTCAGCTATTTAATGGATGACCATCCACAGTGCAGTACGTTTCTTATACCATGAAAATACTGAGTCAAATTTATAGTTCTAGGGATTTGCTGTCAGTAAAAATAAATAATGTATTTATCCCTTACAGTCATTTTAAATTAGCTTCCACAGACTTGAGGAACACAGCGGTGCATCACAAGTAAATGATCTGTAGCTCAGGTTCAAATTCTATTACAGCATTTAATGCAAAATCTAATTTATGGATTTGTTTTTCTCCCCCTCACAGGAATCTGCAGCCTATAATGCCGTTAATGCTCTCCAGTCAGCTTATGGGATACGATACAGATACGGTCCTGCATCCAGCACGCTGTGTGAGTTTCTCTCTGACTCAAGTGTGTGACTTTGACCTACCTACAGTTAAGAAGGGGGTTGCCTTTATTATGACAAAGGAAGCAAATACAGTTTAAAGTGAACTTTGTCCAGCTGTGGCTCATGAGGAAGGCAGAAAAGGAAGTTTTGTAACTGCTTCAGTCAGTTGATTGCAGGAAGACTCAGTCAACTGATGCAATAAAAGAGATTAAAATGCAATGCATCTGAAGGGGGAAATCTAGCAAATAATATATCCAGAACATACAAAAAGAGATAGAACAGAAGACCTTAAAAAGCATATTTTTCACAGCTGCTGTAAATGCATTACTTTATTATAAAATATATGGGAGAAAGTAGTTCAAAGAAGGTTTCATCTTTCACCATTACTTTGTGTCTCCTGTGCATTTGTGATACCTACAGCTATTCATATTGCTCATTCGAAAATTGAAGAGGGTCACTTTAAAACCTAGATTTCAAATGTCTCAGCGCCTAGATGATGATAAATGACAGCAACTGTATCTTTATTCAGACATCTTCCATTTTTGAAGGGTGATTTCAAGTGCATTTTCCCCTATAGCAAAATATCTTTAAAATATGGCTTTTAAATATTTAACAGCATTTGTCAGCTGAGCTTTCCATGTTGACAGGTCAGCAGTAAAGTTCAATAGGTTTCAGCAAGACCCGTTTTTTTACTGAGGCTATTTGGGTGGATGTGAGGCTATACGAGACCTCAATTCTCATGATAAGGAGAATGGAATTTGAAGTGAGAGGTTTAATAAATCGCCAGATCTCTCGCACATAACCTCCTGCTTCCCTTTTGCTGCTGCTGAAGCCAGCTGTGTTTTGGATGCAGAGCTCCACGAGCCACACTCCTGTGGGCCTCCATCCCACAGCCCTCATCTTGTGCCTATTACAGCATAGGTAGTCGCTATCTCGAAGGAACAGCAGTGTGAATTAATGCACAGAAGGACTTGTACAGAAGAACACAGGCCACGTGAGAGAAGGAGCTTTATCTAAATATAAGTGTCTTGGATAACCGACATATGGGCAATAAGGAAAAGCATAAGAAACGCTCTTCTGGAAGGTTTGTTAATATTAGACACCACCTATGCAAAAGATAGCATGCTATAAGGAGTCGGGAGCAAATGAGAAATGAAAAGAATTTCAAAGACACTTTAAAAGGCAAATATAGGTTTTCTTTATCGTTATTCTCCCTCTTGCCTGCAAATGAATTTTCTATGAAGAACTTTGCTCATAAGAAAGTCACACAAAGTCTGTGACCATGCAGAGCCCAGGTCTAGTTGGAGAGCTTGGTGGAAGCAAAGCTTTAGACTAAATTCACTAAGAGAACAAGATCTGAGGGCTTGGTTCTCAGCCGTTTTCCTTTAAAGAAGTTTGTCTTTAAACAAAAAAAAAGACAGTTGTTATTTTCTTTGTATGAAAATATGAGTGTAATCTCATATGATGCTGAGAACCTTGTGCAAGTGCTGAGTGCCCTTCCCTGCAGGGCTTTTGGGATCAGGAAGAGCCACAGCTTAGTTCCAAATATTCACTGAGTGCTGTAGATAAAACACCACCATAACTGGTGCTTTCAACAGAAGAAGCGTTTAACCTTGTTTTTTAACACTCTCCAAATTCCTTTCCTCAGATGTGAGCTCTGGTAGCTCTATGGACTGGGCCTACAAAAATGGCATTCCCTATGCATTTGCGTTCGAGCTGCGCGATACTGGACACTTTGGATTTTTACTTCCCGAGACGCTCATCAAACCAACGTGCACAGAGACCATGCTTGCAGTTAAAAATATAACCCTGCATCTGCTGAAGAAATGTCACTGAAGCTGTGTCTAGGATCTGGAATTCAATGTTCACTTCCAATGTTAATGCCTTATGGTGTGTTCAATTGTCATTCAAAGTCAAAGCACTTCCAAGCTCTGTGATTGATGTTGATCATGGTACTGATGATGGTGGTGTGACAGTGTTGATCCTACCTGATATACCTGGTGGGAAAAAAAAAGAAAATCCTTCATTTTTTGCTTTACAGAAATTTGCAAAGTTGATATACATGTTTAGCTTTCAGTTCAGTGCAAAATACTCTTATTTTTATGATAAAGTTTTGAATTTGTGCCAGTGACTTCAACAGGGTAGATCCAGGTCCACACAGAGATGCCTGGAAAAAAAGAACTAGTTCCAGATTGTGCCTGTTCTTACTCCTTTGCCAAATGGGAAGACTTCCCATCCCTGAGCCTGTGGAATAAAGTTTACATTTATAAACATACATACACCCTGTGAGCCAACACAGGCCTACAGCAGTAAGTGGCAGCGTGGCATATAGCTGCACCAGCCACGCTGCAAGTAGCAATGGGGCTTCTGCCTACATACACACATACATATATATACACATACGTATGCGTGCGTGCACTTTGGTGATTTTTTTTTTCCTATAATGCAAGAATTTGACCCAAAATTCCCTTCAGTTATTCAGAGATATCTATTTTCAAATGTATATATTCAGGTGGACACAAATCAAGATATGACCTTCGAAAATGTAGCCTTCTTAAAGACTTGTACAAATTATAATAGAATATTGCTAAGATATATGAAACTCTGCTGCCCAGAGACACCCTCTCCGACAAAGCCACTTGCCGTGACTTGGAACATGGAGCCAGGAGCCAGCTGGTGCCTCTGGGGTCAGCCATGGCCACGCCACCAGCCCAGGCTCAGGCCTTAACTGCAGTTAACTGGAGTTTTATCGCTACAGGGAGTTTTATAGGTCTATGGCTATGTGGCTGTTTTTTTGCATGCTTGAAAGGACTTAAAAATAGATTCTTAATTGAGATGGAAATGAAATCAAGAACTTTACCTGGAGGCTGTTGTCAAGTTCCCAAGTGTAAACTTTACAGCTGAAACACAGTGAACAAGCATCATGTTTTAAGGAATAATAAGGAAAGTATATAGAATGCAGCAAAAAGCTTGCTGCCTTTTTTTTTTTTTTATACTTTTAAAATAATATTTTTGACATCATTATAGCCAGAAAAGCATATAAAGCATACTTTATTAATTTTGAGTTTAATCCTATGCCATAACATGCTAAATAAACCGTATTTGTTAATAAAATCTTCAAAGGCTTCTGAAGTATTCCTCACATTTCATTCCATTGTTAAATGCCTTAGTTTAAGGATTTATCCGTTCTACTTACCTGTAAAATATTACTGGCAACCAGGATATACTATTAAAAAAAACTATATGCTTGCAAAGTAAGTACTATAATGTAGCAACTGGGAAATCTTTATAAGATGGGAGGGCACTATACTTAATTGAGAAAGCCACTTTTTTCAGATACAGAAGGTAATCAGTGAGCAAAGAAGTAATTCTTATTCCACACAGGCTTATAATTTTATTAATAATTTTTTTTTAAACAAGCTATCTGAAAGCTTATAGATTGTTTCATACTTGTTTGAATCATGCAAGTTTCTGTGCTGGTTAATTAAAATCTCGAGGACAGAAGGTTTCAAAATTCACGGCTCATCTCCATTTGCTCCTGACCATAATTATTAAATATTTTGAAGGCAGCAATAACTGCCTTTTGCCAAGCATGGATTCTTGACAGCTGGTTTTGACAGTGGTGTAAATTAAATCTTAGCATCAATTGCCAAGAGTTATTTTGGGTTTAGGTGACAAGATTGAACTGTTAGGAAGACATTTCATTGTGAAATGAGGGACAGGAATGAAAGGTGCCTAATCAGCATGAGACAAATATAACACTGGCTTGCTACAGTATAACCTGTCCCAACAATGGGCCAGGAAAAACAGTTTCAGGCAATATCATCTGATTCCCACTTATAGGCCAACAGTGGGTCTCCTGAAACCCTTTGGTTTTGTCTTTACACCATCACACCTGCACTGGTACAGAAAAGTGATTGAACTCGTGGAGGAGTTCAAGGAAAAAAAAGAAAAAAAAAACTTTTATTTAATAAAAGCTCCTAACATTGTAGATGGAGTTGAGCTGTTTGGACAGTAATAATTGAAAGTATTTTACCATTTATCCAAAAAGCTCTGAGCTGAGCTGTGGAGACCTACGCAGGGCAGCTCTGCATCCCCACAGGGTGAACAGAGAGTGTAACCGGTCTCTGCCTCCCTTAATGCCAGGATCACTGAAGTTGACCAATGAGAGAGTCAGTGGGAAAGGACAAACCGTTTCCAGAGTTAAGATTTTGTAAGAGAATACTTCAGAATTGATAAGCAAGACCAATTCTAAAGAGAATAATTTACTCTCATGATTAAACTGTCTCAGGTACTTGGATACCATCAATAGTCTTTTTAACTTACAAATGTTCATTCCCTGAACAGCTATTTTGCCTCCATTTTACCTCCTCTGCATCTCTCCCATTTGTACTTGTCTTCAGCAGTCTTTATTGCCTACAACATAACATGATCGATAGCCATTTTTGAGCAGGCTGATATTATTTTACAATGCCAGGAATAGTTTACAGCTCAACTCAATAACAAATATATGAACAGCAAAACACTATGATTATTAATCTAGCAGTCAAAACGGCAAATGTAATGGTTATGTGAAACCCAGGAGTGGCATTTTCCATGATTATTGACTGCTCTGTAACCTGGAAAAAAGCCTCAAACAAGGTTTTGTAAACATCTGGGCTTTTCTTTGATAGCTTTATTTTCAAAAGCTTTGAGATTAATTCCTGCGACATGAAGAGGCCTGTGCCTTTGCGGGGAAGAGGCCTGTGCCTTTGCGGGCCACCCTTCCCAACACAAAAAGCACCACCTCGAACCAAGGCCCGGCAGTGTCCAGCGGGCCGCGACCAGGCCGCACACCGCGACCAGGCCTGCCCTCACAGACAGCCCCACAGGCTGGTTTCCCCGTAACACAAACCGCACGATGCAGCTTGCGCTCCCCGCTTGAGAATACACAGAAAGCAGCTCTTCATTAAAGCCACTCCGGTTGGAGATAACGCAATATATTGACTCCCCAAAAAGATGACAGTTTGCCTCTTCTGATGCATTCATGTTAAGCAATATCTTCTTTTTTTATGTTTACATTAAATTTAATGGCACCTCCCACCCCAAAAAATAGAAGGTATTCAGAGCATGGGTAGAGCAATAAATGTTTTTGCAAGCCTCTTTTTCACCTGGCAGCAAGACTGCTGTATCACTTCCAAAGCTTGTTGTTACATAGCAATCACATTTATTAATAAAAAACGTTAACCTTGCACATAACAATTTAATGCTTTTTGCTTTTGTGACTAAAAGCCAGATGTTGTCATTTCCATTCAGTACTTAAGTGCCAGTAAACATCAGAAAAAATCTCAGGTTGTGTAGAGATGCAACTACAGCCCTGCTGTTGAATACAGAGCAAGGGAAGAGAAAACAGAGTAAAATATGTCAAGAACTCTTAAATATGAACCCCAGGACCTAATTAATTCTATTTCTTAAAGCCAGTTTTTGAGGCACGCACCACACAAAATGCCTATTTTGGGTTGTAAATTTAAAACCTTCCTTCCACTAAAAATACAGACTGTTTGACATGCTTAATGCATGTTCTGTTTTAATTCTCATTCAGGATAAAAACATAAGCTCCAAAGAAATGCTGTGAAGGAGGAAATCTGCGCGAGGAACGATTAGCCCTCTAGCTCATTGTGGCAGGCGCCTTCTGAGACACAGCAGCTCCCCGATGACAGGAACACTCGAGCGGCTGCTCTGCCTTGGTGCCACGGAGCTGCAGGAGAGCCCCCGGCTGCCTTCCGCAGCCCTGGCTCCGCTGCCCTAAGCCTCACGCGCTGGTTGAGCGGCTTCTCAAAAAACGCAGCCATATGCTGCGGGGGTGTCAGAAGAGCCTCGACCACAAGGCGTTTCACTGATACCCACAAATCACCCCAGTGATAAAGTCACCCCAGGGCAGTGGGCAAGTGGACAGTTAAACCATCTTTGGGCGAGAACATTTAAAATAGGTGAATCTTTAATCCAGAAACCCCTTAATGTTTCTCCTCGCCTGCCAGGCAGCAGTGATGAAGCAGAAACACTCAACTCCTCTGCTCACAGATCCCTTGCAAACTTGCATTCTCCTCCTGTATTCAGACAGCAGGGAATGCCTTCATAAATAATAGATTCAAATGTTAATTAAAAGATTCTGCCCCTCTCCCCAGCCATGCAGCAAGTGCCTGTCACAAAGGAAATCTGGCCATTGCAACAAGCTGTATCTATGCGTTTCCTCTGCCAGACCCACTCGAAGGGCTGACCACTTTAAACCTGTTTTAACAGCCAGAACCATTAAATATTTTAATCTATGCCCAGGTCATTAGGACTGTATATTTAATCTCAAATAATATACAAGTTCTGAAATAAATACTGTGCTACGTCTGTGAGCATGGAATTTAGGGTTTTATGCTGAGTGCTGTGCATCAGTCTGTACCCATGCGCACCAGTACATGTGGGGCTTAACAGGTTGACTCTAAGCGAGGGTATTTATTTCTTTACTCAAATAATGAATTGATTCTTTTCCCAGTCCTACAGAGAATATAAAGTTAGGTTTGCAGATAGACATAAGCAAAGGGAGTTTGCTAAGGTTTCACTTTCTAATGGGATTTTGAATCCAGTTAGAATCAGAACCAGTGTTTTTAGGTGGCTTTTTGTTTTCCATATCATAACTGAAAAAGTGGTAGAGCAGCCTGAAGAGCTGCACAGTTTGCTCAACTGAAATGACAGATTCACTTATTGTTCTGGGTTTCATCTCACTCTTTCTCCAGGTTGAGATAATCTGGGTTGATTGGGCTGAGCTAAAGGAGTTCCCATCTACAAGATGAGGAGAGCATCCTCTTTTGGGCTTAGCTATCTAAAAACAGGAAAGGTTTTTAAAAATAT